TGGATATAATGTTGGGCCGTGAGGCATAAGTTGGCTCGACTTTTGACGATTTTCTTCGCTACTTGGGCCGGGGCCTCGGTTCAGCCGGGCTTCAGCCCATACTAAATATTTCTCCATTTTTCTAAGGCTCGGTTTAAATTTAACAATTGAAACCGATACTTAGGCTACAATAATTCGATTTTTGAAATTAAAAATTGAATGGATTCTGCATGGATTAGACTTAGAACTTATTACTCAAACTAATGCAAATAATAATAATTAAATGCATCAAATATTTAATAAAAGTTGAAATAAATAAGACTTGCTATTTATGGAACTAAAGTCGAGCTCCATAAATACTAAAAATATTCGGGGCGCTACAGACCTTGTGCGATGCACGGGACAAAGATATTAAATTAGTTAATTTCACATGTCTTGTCCGTTTAAGTCTAAAAAGCAATCGGTGTATCATCTATTTTCCACCTCTTTTATCAGAGTCGAGTCTAAAAAAAATAGTGTTATAATCAATTTTCTACCTCTTTTAATCAACACTGGTTTTTTAGCCAGAACATTAAATATGAGCATGCCAAAGCAAGCTTGTAAAATAATTAATATATCTCACTAACACTTTTATACTAATATAAATTTGATTTTAGTATATGTATATTTATTCGTTGATATAAGAGAAAATAACAATTTTACTTATTCTTGTTCACTATATAATACTTAATTATTATTTTATTATAATTTTTGTTGTCATATAATGTCAATAATTTTTATAAAAGTTATAGAAGGTGTATGTCTTCTTTTTCTTTTTATTTATATAAGGAAAAATATTTAATACACTTTCGTATTATTTATTTATGTAATAAATTTAAAATATATAAATAAATTTAAAATTAAGTAACGTATAAATATTTTATAAATATACACACATATTTTTTTAGAATTTAGTTTTGCACACTAATTATACAACTTTTATTTAGAAAATGTCAAAAACGCAATCCCTTCTATAAACTAGATTTTTATACTTCGCAATATAATGATTTATAGTTTATTTAGCATACTTTGCAATGAAAAAATATTTTACAAGGATTTCATTATCGAAATAAATAAAATTAAAAAAATGATAAAAATAATCGTGGTTGCCAGTAATATACAAATAAATTCTAAAGAACATTTAATATATATCAATTTTTAATTTTTATCATTAATAGAACAATTAAATGTATCTGGTCATTCTCTCTTAAATTTTAAATTATATTAATTTAAAGAATAATTTATTTTTTATATATGACGAAATAAAACTTAAGGAAAATTATATTTGACAATATAATTTACCAATTTGATTTCGCCTGATTAAGTGGAAGAAAAAAAAATCCTACCTAAGTTGTTGCAATTTTCTATAGGTTTTTTTTTTTGGGATAAAAACTGAATATTTTTTAAAAATGATAATATTATGGTAAGAACTTAAAATATGTTGTACTGATATTTATCTTGACCAAAATATTATCAACATAAATCACGAAATCAGTAATGTAATTAATCATAATGGATATCATTGAAATTATTGCAGATATTAATAAAATTATTTAAGAAAACAATATTTTTTATCATATCTGATTTGATCTTATTTGAAAACGTGTATATTGAAATAATTAATGCATATATTTAAAAAGTTTTCAAAAAAAGTGTACATTAAATACTCTAAAAAAAAATTACTTCTATTTTTAGTAAATGGTTATTTTAATTTTATATATATATATAGCAATTTTGTTATGGAGTCATCGGTTGCTCGACCTATGGAATCATTCACATTTATTCACCAATAATGTGTTGACATGTATCTTACAATAAATACACTTTGAACAAGTGTCAATACATTAAGTGGTTGATGGCTCCATAAAAAAACTAAAAAACAATCCGATGGCTCCATAAAATTTTTGATATAGATAGATATAAATATATATTATACTGAATATTTCTTTTTAGTATCCTTATTTTCGTCTACGTTTTTCCAAGAGCCAAACCGTTTGACATCTATTTCCCAAATAATCGCACGAAGTTAAGATCCAAACGAATCACGCAACAATCTAAAATTTCGAACATCGATTGGTCATTGTTCTATTTTATTGCCACATGTCACAAACAATCCTATGTGGCATGAAACAAAATTAAGGTAATATATAAAGGAACAACACAACATAAGCGAACATGAGCAACTAATACTATATCAAATCATTCAAGGCAATTAACGACATATGATCAGATTTTTGCAGTTTGGTAGTGTCCCATAATCATGAAGCTCCACATTCATTCTTTTTCCCAAAGATCCCTCCACTTTTCGTAAATCGCCATTCTTGTCTTCGTCCATACCGTCCTTCATGAGATTTTAAAAAATAAATAATTAATCAATAAAATTAATGATTAATCAACAATAATAAAATAAAGGATGTGTAGATGTAGACATGACCACGGGTTGGCCCGTCCGGGTCCGGAACCGGTCCGTCCTAGCCGGTTTTTGAACCGGCCCACAACCTCTTAAGGGCTGGTCACGTGTCATGTTGTACTCCTTTTTGACCCGCCGGACGGAGCTCGAGTTTTTCGACAGGTCACAGTTGTAATTTTTTTCTAAACAAGCGGTTCATTCAATTAACGGGCCCTTAGATATAGTCGGGCTGGTTACGAGCCCAGCATTTGAGGCCCGACAGGCCGGGCCGTGAACCGGCCCGGTCTTTGGCCAAGTCTATGTAGATGAGGACTATCTTTGAACCAATTTGCATAAAGCGTACAAATTAGGTAATAAATAATTAAAGTGTACCTCAAAACGGAGATTAGGAATAGACATACGGTTCTTGACTTCCTTAAGACTCCCTGCAGTTAGCCAAAACAAACAGTTAAATACACACCATCTTTAGACTAAAAATAAAAAAATAAAAAATAAAAGGCTTACTCGTTACAGGGACGGCGGCAGTGGTGGACACCACCAAGAAGAGGAGGAGCAACACCATTAGCCGCTGCGTTTGAGATGCCATGACCGCCGTACACCACCGTGATGCCACCGCGCTAAAAGGTCTTGTGGAAATTAATTCTTTCAGATGACAGAAAGGGTTGAGCGATCGGGCTCTTAATTTATATCGTGGTGAAAGATTCCAAATGTTTTTTTCTTTGAAATTTCTAGACACAAGTTGTTTTTTTTCTTTTTTTTTTGGTAGCCACTGTATCCAGAGCTATATGCCCGACTAATCCGTTGGTCGATCCGGGTCGCACATCTGACAGTGGTGGGTGAGTCTCCCAACAAGGGTTTTCTACATCCACAAGGACTCGAACCCAAGACTTTGATTAATCGACATCAAACTGTTTACCACTTGAACAAACTCTGTTGGTTAGACGCAAATTGTTTGTTATAATAAATTGGGCAAAATTAGCGGTCAATGGGACAAATTAATAATGTATGAAAGCATTTGAAAACTATTAAAGGAAAAGGTCAACTGTTTTTACTTGAAACTAGTACGTACCCCGTGCGATGCACGGAACATAGATATTAAATGAGTTATTTTAACTACTTTGTCCGTTTAAATCTTAAAAGTAATAGTGTTATTATCTATTTTCTACCTCTTTTGATCAACGTTAAGTCTAAAAAATAATAAGGTTATAAGTTTTTTTTCATATCTTTTAACCAGCATTGTTTTTTAGCCAGAACTTAAATATGAGTATGTTAGGGTTAGCTTGTAAAATAATTTATATATTATCTCACTAAAATATTTATACTAATAAAACTTTAATTTCAGTATATAAATTTATCCCTTGATATAAGAAAAAAGTAACAGTTTTATTTATTCTTGTTTATCATATAATATTTAATTATTATTTTATTATATAATAAAAAAGAATAGTGTTAAATAGTTTTTTTTTTTTACACAAAGATAATATTAAAAAAATATAAATATCCATACAAATATACGAACCAAGTTTTTTAATAGTTTTTTATAAGTTTTATATAAATATATTATAATATGTTAGTGTATTATTCAAAATCGTAATATTGATTTGTAGTTTTTAGAAACAGAATTTTGATTGTTTTGCTCACTCCATTTTATGAAATTTTTTTATGTCAAGATAAGAAGGATTAAAAACAATATGTAAAATAGGAAACTTGATTAAAATTATAAATGCATTAATTACTACTTGATAAAATTAGAAGTTCATTAATTAAAGTTGATTTTTTTACCTACTATATTTAGTAAATAGGTTTCCTTTTAATATAAGTATAGATATTGTACCGACTTCTCATGGCCCCCACGGGCCACGGCATATAATAATTAATTATATAGGGAAATACTATTTACTCTTTTACCCGTCTATTGTTTACTACTACATAAGTTTAAATAATATATAAATAAAAATTGAAATAAATTATTGTTTATTATGGAAATTTAGTGTACACAACATTATATTTTGTCGATCGATCATCTACTGTAACATCTTTATATGATCTTTTTCCTAGTTAATATATGTAATTTTATTATATTTGTTTTTTCTAAAAATTTCAAAATGCATTCAGCAAAGTGATATATTTTTCATATTAATTTTTTTAAGTATTTAATGAAAAATAAGAGTTATCATTCAATAAAAATATTAACATGGTATATTCGGACCATATTGCATTAATAGTATGAGAACCTATTTAACATATATTGATATAAATATATGCAGAAAAATTGCATTTTGTGCCATGTAATTTGTCGTGTGTGGAAAACGCGGACTTCCTTTTTGTTTGGCAAAAAATGACAGTTTCTTGTAAAAATGCGAATTTAGATAATACACAATGCATATTTTAGTTATAAATCATGCTTGCTTAATTGAAAACATAAAGACAGTAGAAGACTCAAGGATATTGCTGTCAGTTGCATATTTTGACTGCACATTTAGTTCATATGAAGTGCATATTTAATTCATATAAAATGCACATTTAGTAAACATAAAATATTTAGTTAGTTCATACACAATCAAGGAAATAAATAGCTCGCTAAAGTTGCCGCTATTTGAGAAATAACTTTTTTTGGCAGCGTGCCGCTATGTGTATTTATGTGCAATTTAGCCGCTAAATCCCGCTAAATCTCCGCTATAGCTCCGCTATAGCTACAGTGCCATAAACGTTTTAGCCCGCTATTTAAAACCTTGTACACAAGATATATTTTGTTCATAGAAAAATAAATATTAAGCAAACATATTTAGTTCATACAAAATGCACGTTTAGTTCGTACCAGTGCGGATTTAGTTCATGAACAATGCATACGAAATTGATTTTATTGTCGCACATTTAGTTAAAAAAATACATATTTAGTTCATATAAAATGCACATTTAACTTATATAAATTTCATATATCGAGTGTGAATTTACTTCATTGACAATGCAAAATTGGTTCATAAAAATAATGCATATTTAGAATATATATTGAGTTCATACAAACTACATATTTAACATACACAATTAAATCAAAACCGGACTGTATTTTTTTATTATATAATTCATTTGGTGTAATTTTATTATTTATTTTTATTACATTATTACTCTAATACTGCATATTTAGTTCATTCGTTATGACATATTTAGATAATAAAAAAATGTATATTTAGTTAATGTGAGATCCAATCATAGTCATTTATTTGTATAGATCAATGACTCAAATTAATCAAATGAAACTTACATTAATCATAGAATAATAATATAATAATAATTATATAAAATGCATATTTAATTGCATATTGTGACTGTACATTTAGTTCATACATAGTGCATATTTAGTTCATCATAGTACATACTTAGTTGATATTATTGTCGCAAATTTATTATATAATTAATTTGTTATAATATTTTTTGTTTTTTATTATATAATTAATGTAATTATAATGCATATTTAGTTAATTCATTATCATATTTAGTTCATGTTATGAAATGAATATTAGATCATCAAAGTGCATACTTAGTTCATGTGAGGTCCAATCATTGCTATTTATTTGTGTAGATCAATGAATTATATTAACCAATTGAAATTTACATTAATTATATTAGAATAGATAACTGTTATTGCATTTAAATTAATGATATAAAATGCCCATTTAATTGACTATTTTCGCTACATATTTAGTTCATATATAGTGCATTTTTAGTTCATAAATGTGCATATTTAGAATGACAGCATATTTATTGGTGGACATTTAGTTCATAAAGATTGTATATATCCAGCTCATACCAAATGCATATTTATTAGTTCATATCAAGTGTACTGCTGAGTGCATATTTTTTCTTCATACATAATACACATTGCGGTCAACGGTAAACGCCAGAGTCAACGCCACGCCAGAGTCAATGCCGGAAGTTAAGAGCTCGTGGAAAGTCATCGTCAGAGTCAACCATCAAATGACTTATATAATATTTAACTAGTTAAACTAAGAAAATAAATACTTAAATTTTAGCCACACATCCTGATTCCTATTTCATGAATAGAATTGAGTGTTACATATTCACTTTAAGTTTATTGTATACTCATTAGAACCAATCTCTTGGATACATAATTTTTCAAAAAAAATCCAAACATTTTTTACTCAACCACTTTTTTTAACTCAACCCAACTATCATCAATATTATCAATATAATTAAATAATACCAATCAATCATTCTTACACACCATCACCTTAGTTCACTGTTAATTGTTTGTAGTGTTTTTGGGTAGTTGGTAACCGAGTTACCCGGACTCAGGTCGTTCTCAAAGGAAGGCTATCGGACACGGATTCAAACAACGATCGACTCACACAAGAAAAAAAATAAAAATCCTAAACACTCTACTCGCAATTTGGAGGTTCGATTGAGCTAAAGAACGCAATTTAAGCTAAGACGAAAACAAGATTCAAACTTTATCGCAAGTAAGACCTCAATTTGCAAGAAAAAGGAAAATAAAGAGAAAAATAACAAGGTACTCCTAGACTCGAGATGGAAAGAAGGCACTCATAGGTTCGGGAACATGCGATCAAGCAATAGTCACTCGTGATCAATTAACCTCTCAATCAATTCTCGCTCACGCAATCAATAACAATATCACATAATCCCTAGCCTACGAGGATGATAGCATAATCGACTCATGGATGTGCCTATCTTAACCCTAGAATAACTCCAATAAGTAAAGACAAACAAGACTAAAAAAATCATGAACCTTAAGTGAAGTCTCCACGTCTCTAATGCATCCACGAGAAGAAATAAGTCGAAAAGTTGTAATCTTGATGGAGAAATATTACAATTAAAAATAGGGTCTTGGAGCCCTTAGAGAGAGAAAGAAAGTTAGAGAGAAGGGAGAGAAAAACTAAGAAGAGAAAAATTTAGCAAATGAGGAATTCTCTAAAATTACAAAGCAAGATGTCTATTTATAGCTACACCACAAACACACACTAAAACACACACATTTAATGAGGAAAACTCGCAGGTTAGGTGGATTTCGCGAGCAAAAGGCCGAATTTTGCGGGCTAGAAGGAGCTCGCGAGTGTGGCTTGGTGCTGGGTGGAAAGCTCGCGACTAGCATGGACTTCGCGGGCGAGGGGCATGCGGAATTCGCGAGCTGGGGCGCGCATAAGAGAACTCGCGGGCAAGGGCCTCAACACTCGCGGGCTAGCAGTTGTTCGCGGGCGCGGACGGAGGACTCGCGGGCTAGGGGCTCAGCACTCACGGGTTAGCTCCTGTTCGCGGGCGCGGATTGAAATTCGCGGGCACTGGGCTGCAGTGGCTTGGTCCCGGTGATCCCTTGAAGTTCGATTCACTCTAATTTCTCGCACACTTATCTAATTGACTTGAAACTTTGACCCACGCTTCTCAAATATTCTTCCCTTCGTCTTGATGGGTATCACCACAGAATTAATAAATATTCTCGGAATGAGTCGGAAATGGTTCGTGTGACTAGGACATGGTTCAGACGGCTCGAAAATGTCTCAGAAATGACTCGTCTTCCCAAACTCGAATATTGTGGACCTAAACAACACCAAA